ATAAGATGAAGCAAATAATGAAGTATCATCATTCTTGGACATCACTCTTTGTAATGTAATTCTCAAAGGCAATTTCTACTATAAGTGTGTAGTTGAGATTGAAATAGTCTATCGATAAATTGAGATTCATCTTCGCTCGAATACTTATTCAGATCAGCAGTACAACGGCACCAACCCTCTTTGATGCGTCTTATGAATCATATGAATAATTGTATGGAGTGCCACTGACCTGAAGAAGAACTGTTGATTCATTATCAAGCATTGAGCGTTAATCTGTTTTGATTGGCCAGTTGGTGTGGATTATTTCTCGTTATAAAGACCTATTTATTGAAAAAACGAAAACATAATTCGATAGAGAAACGTTCCCTCTATCAACTGGTACAAATCAGAAGTTCAGTCTGTTTTATTTTTAAAAAATCGATGTAAATAGTGCTTTTGATTCACTCAATATGTTTTTTTTCTCTCTCAATCGATATAACAGAAAGGAAAGAAAAAAAAGAAGAGATCATGCGTTCTGTGTTGACAGTTATCTCTTACATCGACTCAATTGTACTCGTTCATAATGTTTATAAGAGAAAAAAATGACACTCTCAGACGAATATTCGATTCGGTTTCGCTATCGGGTGTGCGGTGTGGATGCTATTATGAAACTTCTTTCAGACAGCCACACCCACACCCATATGCCGACTCGTAGAAAAAAGAAATTCCGAATCACAATGATGGAATCTAGAAAATAGATGATTTATCGTCGGATTACCATTTCCAGTAATAGACGAGTTTTTGGAATTTTCTTGGAGTACGAAAATAATCGGGAGTTTCAACCGTAAAATTTATGTATTAAAAGCGAGAGACAATTCATAGTTATGAGCTAGTGTTCAATTGACTGTAACATTTGTTTCAGAATTTACGGTTTTCTCTTCATCATCAGTGTCACTATCGCTTCCAACATCAAGATAATCAAGCATTTCGGTGAGCACTTGTTCTTTATATATCTGAAGACGCAGTAATTCTTGTGCTAAGATTATAGCATTTTGAACACGGATTACAGTGGGCTCTTTTGATGGATCGTCAAAACATTTTTGAAACATTTCAAACGCTCGTTTTAAATTTTCTAATCCTATAGTAAAATCTTTGAGCGCACATTGTGTAAATCCAATATTATAGTACGTTTCAGCAAGTGAACGATTGCTGGGCCCAATAGAGAGTTTAATTTCTAAACATTTCTCAAAATGTGTCAACGCTTGCTGGTACTCCTCATAGTCTACATGCAGACCACCAATACTGGAGTGAAGAGACGCTCGTTCAGGGTGCATTGCGGATAAGACTTTCTCGGCAATTCCCAAGCATGTATTATATGCATGCAAAGCTTCACTGTATTTTTTAATTTTTTTATAACATTTACCGATTCTCACCCATGCAATTAGACTGTTATAATCTTCATCGCCAAATTTTTTGCCTGCGATGCTGAGTGCACATTCATAATCGTGTAAAGCACTGTCTGTTCGATCGAGTTTTTGAAGTACATCGCCGCGCTCTATATAAATATCGTACAGTTGTAGGTAGTATTGATCGCTGTTCTCATCACTTTCTTTTAGCTGAGACTCTAAAGCTTTGTCAAGAAACGGCAAAGCTTTTTCATTCTGTCCTGTGGCATGAAAGAGTGAACCAACGTACCACATTTCTATTGGGTGATTGTCGATGGGTTTTGCTGAAGCAGCTTTGGGAAACAAATCACCGAGAACATATAAATACAAACGACGGGCTCTCTCCTTTTCACCAATGTAACTCAATACTTGACCAATTTGACAAAACGATTCATCACTCTGTATTTTACTTTTCATCGATAACCAGACTTGATCAAGTCGATCATCACAGAGTTGAAGTTGTACCGACCATAGTTCGCCACAGCTTTCAACGTTCAAAGCAATAACATCTACGATGCGAAAAAGTGAACCCATACTGAATAAAATTTCTACTTCAGCTTCGTTCATTGAACTTATCATACTGATATCTGCAAATGCTTTTGGATGTAATGTTTGATTTGGATCGACAATAATGTCAAATAATACTGGCTGTAAGTGCTCATCAAAACGATTGGATGATGCAGCAAAAAATATAGCCACGTCACGCTCTTTACTGGTAGATAAAAAACTATTAATTGCTATTATTTCACCGATATTATCATGCATTTTGCCGAACTCTTTGCGTGAGATAGCTTGACCACGATAGAAATGTAAGATCGGTTGTCCAATTGAGAGTGGGTAACGATGTTTATTCAGATACGTATGCACATCCCGTACGAGGAAACACATAATAATAAGTGCATCAAAGTCCTGTAGACGCAGCGCATGATTTAGTAAGTTATAGACGAACGGTTCTTTTGTATACCACCAAATAGCGTGTTCACTTTCATAACTGGTAACAAAGTCTTTTATTCGAGCAAGCAGTTGCTCATTACCATGAACGTACTTTTCTTTACAATAATCAAGATAAAGGTTCATTGATGATGTTGCATCTTCATCACATGTGGACAAAAGAGCTTCAATGAACAGTTGATAATATAAAGAATTATCCTCGTGAGATGTGTGAGTGGCTTGATGATCACTATTGTCCGATCGGTTAAAATAATTTACTGATATAAAGTCACCATATTGACCTTCACTGATCATTGAGGTAACTTGAGCACTGATTTTTGATGACTCGCATAAACGGGAGACCTAATAGAAATTTTTAAAATATTAAACCAGCGAGATAGGTTTCTGAGTGTCACTCAAGGTGTGCATTCTTGGAAAAATTCTTAGTTTTGTGGCAGCAAGAGGTATATTAGCTATTTTTTTCCGAATGCCATTCCATTCAGATGTCTTCTAAGATAGTGAATTGTGATACATCAAATACAGTTGCCCATCGATTGCGCTAATATGTACATTATATAACCATTTGATTACTTTTCTTTAGACAAATTTTCTCTTTGTAGTCTAGTAATAAAACAAGATTCTTTTGGCATCTGAGATACATCTTCCATGTTGAATGGCATAAATAACATTGCGACATCGTTGACGCATCATCACTCATATAGACAGATGCCACTTCATTCTAGCAATGTTCTCTCCCTTCGTTGCTGTTTCCTAGTATCATCTCATGTATGATTCACTTTCCTGCTCACTGGTTTCATAAGAACTACATTTCGTTTTGTTTCTTCTGAGCTTTTCGTACTTCAAGAAAGAAAAACATATATTTTCTGCATGTTCTAATTGCTCTGGTTAAGGCTCTCTTTTTGAAATTAATGAAGAACTACTTTACCTTAGGGTGCTTGTCATACCATGCGTCATTAGTCAGCGGCTCTTCAGTATTTGAATTGTATAAAGTGGAACATATGTCCATGTGGATCACAGCAATGATTGGCCAATCGTGTACACGTTCCACTAATTTTGGACTCAAATCACCCAAGAGCATGAGCCCTATTTGCCGTTCATCCTCAGTAATCATATGCCGCAGATATTCTTCACAATCACTCACATTATTAAACGCGTGCTCATTTTCAACGAGTTGGTGAAAAATATTCTTATTATATTTCGATGCGCTTACATAACACCACACACTTCTTGTCTGAACATCCTGGCGTGGCCGATTGTATTGTTGTCTGATATATGTTTCGAAAGCATCTTGTACTTTAAGAGATTTAAGGGTATCTTTCGTCGGTAAGATATACGATGGCTGATCAACAATCGAGCATACTTCGATCAATAGATCGTTAAGAGCGGACGAAACTTCACTGTCGTCGTCTTTGCATGTGATAGAGACATCCATTATATGCTGTCTAAAATATAGGCATATTTTTTATAGGGAAGAACCGACACCTTTGCTATTGTGTTAGAGAATATCGAATGATTCTGTTACACTGCATTCAAATCAGCAATCTTTTTTTAATTCTCAATCGATTTGGCGCAATTATATTTTAATTCGTGTTCAATATTCGATCTGTATTTTCTGTCTAATATAAGAAATCCAATGCACTGTAAAATCGTAACCGGTAACGTTTTCTTTTTACCGGTACTAATACTGGTCTGAACTAGTCAAGCTGGACCAGACCGACCGGCAGATCCGCATGAATCATTCTTTATTTTTCTTCTAATAGAACAGTCAAACGCAACTAGTCATAACTTTTCATTAGTCGATTGATGATAAGTCAGAAAGGTTATATTTGTTGATTAGAATTGAAAGTTGAACTCTTTCTTTTTTTATATTTGAGCAATATTTGACGTTTCGTTGTTGAATGACAGTTTATTCGACAATTTAGTTTTGACTTTAATAGACTGAAAATTTAGTCATTTATATACGTATAGGTGGAGCAAAACGATGAAAAGAGAAATGAGCAAAAGAAAAGGGCGAAGATATTCATAATAGATAAGACACACTCCTTCTTACATATATTAACAGTAAACAGATAGTAAAACAGAAGAAGCAGAAACTTAAAAATAATTTTCTCCTTTCTAACTATTTTTATTTTTCTGCTCACTATCTATTTACTATTATTATATGTAAGAATGGGTGCGTCACATATATTATGAACATTCCCCCATCCCCTTTTTTCTTTGTTCTCTTCTCTTTTCTTCATTATTTTGTTCTACCTTTACATATTTAAATGACTAAATTTTTAGTCAAAAAAAAACAAAAACTAAATAATCGAACGAGCTGTCATTCGACAGAGAAACCTCATGCATTTCTCAAAATTAAAAACGAAAGAGTTTAATTTGGATGTAGGTGTTGGTGTGAGAAAAAAGAAAGTTCACAGCGAACGATATCGACAATGACCACATAACTACAAGCATACCCTGTACCCGCATCTATAAAGACGTCAGTAGCTGGTTATATGTACATATTGTTTATATTCAATGAGAACAGATCACTAACGTTAATTATTGTTTACGACAAAATACGATAGAAAACAATAATCATTATACAATGAACGTTTATAGTCACCGGATTATTCCACTAGTCGTTAGCGGTGATTTTCTACGATCACTGTTTACGGTTGGAGTAGTTGATCTTAGACAATTAGTTAATATTGCTGTAAACTGCCTTCGTACAAAACTATCGTTTGTCGTCATAACTGATCGCTATAAATCTGTGTAGGCAAGGGAGAAACAACTGATTTAAATCAGTCAAAAATTATCGTAAATCAATTGATTTTTAGTGAGTTTCGATGAATCTGAGTGACTATTTGTGATTCTCTGTTATTTTGAATGATTTACGTTTATGCACGGTCACTTTTCATTTTGTCAAACTCATCCTAACTCAATCAAATTCATGAAATTCGCTGAAACTCATAAATTGCTATTTTCCTCTTGCGTGTAAGACTGAGTATGATTCACATTGGTATGCGTTATTTTTTTTTCAATCTCCATTTTCTTCCTGAAGTGAGCCCGACAGCATGTAAGAATTCAAGCAGAGAAAAAAAACTCATATAAGAGACAATATTGACTAGGAGACATAAGCATAGTTGTTCACTGATCAGACTACAGAGGTGTGCACTGTGAAGAGTTTCATTTTGAGTAAAATTCAATCGGTGTGCATTCGGAGTGCTCATTATGCGGACGTATTTTCTATTGCAAAGCATTCATGCTAGGAATTTTTATTGTATTCGATTTTTATTCGTTCACTTTTCATATAATATAGAGTGATCATCAATAAAAAATAATATTAAATCGATGTTTTTAATCGTTCTGCTTCATTATTTTAGTTGTCTATGAAGTCTAGAACGCTTCTATTACTCAACTATTCTTGATATCGAACCTTCTACTCTAATATGGAATCAAACCGGAATGTATATCGCGTGCATGCTTCTAGAGAAGGAATGCTACTGAATATGTGAATCATGTCTTTACCTTATTTGAATTATTTGTAACGAGGAATGACAATAAACAACCAGACGTCCTTACCTTTTCTACAGAATGAGAAAGAAACACTGCATTACTGCTGAGAAAGTTTCAAAAACATATCAACAGGAAGAAAAAGAAAATGTTTAAAAAAGCAGAGCAAGACTCCCAGCATGGATGTTGAAGCACGTTTCCAGAGTTGAGGGTGTCGGTTAAGGTTGTGTTGGAGAAGAACAGTAGCTCACACTCACCCGCATTTTATGGTCAACTTTTAGTAAATAAACCGTAGTTTGTACATTTAAATACTTCGTTTTTGCTTTACAACTCATTTAATCCATCGTTCTTTGTTTGTAACGTGCTCAGAGATGCTTATTAATCATGCATTGCAATGCATGTTTTGGGGATTCTTTTACTGAAAGACGAGTACTTTTTTTTACAAAGGCTTTGGAAGAAAGAATTATTTTGCAGGCAAGTTAAAGATAAATCTTTTGACTAAAGTACAACAGACTGCATTTGAATATCACGAGACAACAAAAAGAAAACAATTGTGTATCAAAAAGAAAAGCGTTTATTAGAAAAATAATGTCCATGCCAAACAAGAATTATTTCTAAAAAGACTTCATCTAGAGAAAATCATGATATTAAAATGATATATACGATTGCCAATAAACAGCAGCTTTTAGGATTTTTACATATACAAGTAAACAACTAATAGTCTTCTATTATTAATTTTATCTTTAGTCGAAAACTCTTTAAATCTCTTGTTCTTACATGATCAGTGTATAAGATAAATGAAGAAATGAAAATTATTGATATTAATGTTAATCTGATCAAGACATCTTAATAATCATCAATAAAAATTGAGCAAATGTCAATAAAACGCACACAACTTCGAGTTTCATTTAGTTTACTTTTTAGCAAAAAGAAATTTAATTGTTAATTATTATATTATAATAATTCTATATATCTTAATCGTTTAATTTCAGCGAGCAGATTAAAATAAATGAAATCGTTTCGTTTTAATAGAATTTATTTGATATCAATTTGAGATAAATATTTGTCTTATATTTAATATTCTTGATTAAAATATATATGATTACATTCAAATTGTTTGTCTATTCATTCATTTTAAGTAAAAGAAACTCGACAAAGCAAAATAATTAATAATGGAAATGATTATTTCCAATTCCATGATACATGAACAACACCAACATCAAGATTTCCAGCAATTGCTCGAAATGCTGCTGGTGATAAATCTAAGCCACCATACGGACAACCTGGACATCTATCAACAACTCGAACTTCAACTGAACCATGTGGACCATTTACTTGTATTTTTCGATTACATAATCTATTATGATTTGGATTTCCATTTGGTGTATGAGGATCAAATTGAGCTGAATTCATAGCAACAATATATTCATTATCACTGTGTTGTGTACCACATGCTGTATATCCACCTTCAACATTATAATAAGTACATCTTCCACTATATGAACCTCTTACTTCAGGTCGAACTGTTGCACCTGACCAACATGGCCCTGATTTACAACCAGGACCACAATAATCACGGCCATAGCCACACCAACCCCATTGTGAACAACACATACCAGATGGACAATTACACGCACTACTTGAGTCAATTGTATAATAGAAGATTAATAATAAATAAAGAACACTAGGTAGTTTCTTCAATTGATACATTTTTTTTCTAATTATTTTACAATGATTCTAGATCTATGTAATAATCTGTGTCTTATATATATATATATACACCTTATGGAAATATCCCATACCCACTGTCAATTTATCAAATGACGACATTATGCTTTGCTGAAAGGAACACTTTTCATCGTATTCTCTGACATCATAGAGAGAAAAAGTTATACAATATTATAGTTACTAACATCCTGGGAATAATCTCATCATTCTATGTGCATATCTATAGTGGGATTTACCCAGTATTTTAAGAAAAATAAAATGAAAATAGTTTTGCAAACTGTCTCGTGTTAATATTAGATTTTTATTACAATTATCTAAACATAAAATTCTATAAAATGAACTTCTGTTAAAAATTCGTATAAAATCAAAACATTAATGAACAGTATCTTAATTATAAACAAGGAAAAACGATCAATTTTATTCATCATGCAATAAACTACTCTGTGTTTTAGATAACTTTATTTTAATTTATCCTATCTTAGGTAATTATTCGTTGATGAACAGAAAAAAAAGAAGATTTTCATAGAAAATTATGTAAAGTATAAGAACTCAGCTAATATTTCAAAAGTATCCACCCACGCCCACACCAAATATGGATATAAACGAATGTCCGTTTCCATGGTAACTTTATATTAATCTTGATAGAAGAGGAGTTCAAATAGATCTTCTCAATGGCACAACTACATTATAGATATATACTTCTTTTTGTTGTATGATTAACATCTTTCATCTTTATGGCTGTCTTTTTTGAAATTGTAAAACATGATACAATAATTAGAAGCTGGTAGTCTTTGATTTTCGTTTACTTATTAAAGTGTATTATCAAATTACATAAAAGATAATATGTGCTCGATGATATGAATAAAAAATATCTTACGCAGAGCGACCACATGATGTGTAAGTTATCAATAAAGAGAGAATTTTCTATTGATTATATTTATGATTCTTGTCGCTCACTGAGTGATTCAACAATATCAATATGTTTTCTGATAATAAAGAGAAAACGTCGTGATTTTCTTTTTTTCTGGTCTTTTGTCCAGTAAACGTCTCTATCGGAAATAAACTGCTCTACCGAGTAAAAGAAAAAAAAATCCGTTATCGCTTATCAACGTCGTACAAAATTACTTGACTGTACTTTTCTAATATTCTATATTGATCGAGCAGATGGCATTGAATATTATTTTCAAATAGCAAAATATAAGATGGTCTTATAATATCACTACATAACCTCGTATAGAAGATCGAGAATATTATTTTCTTAAGAATTCTATATTTTGTACACTATCTTTAGACCAGGTCCATTTCTTGCTATTTCACTATTTTTATTGTAGTTCTTCTTTACAGCTGCATTTGCGTTAGAAGTATTTTCTCTATACAGAATGACGCGCTTTGGAGTAGGAAAAAAATGATGTATCTAAGAACGAGATGCAAGAAAATACAAGTGACGTTGTTCACGTACGAGCATGAAAGCTGTTTGTCTGATTACTTTTCTTCTTTTCTGTCGGCCAGATCACATATTAGTAAATATATGAGAAAAGGTAAAAAAATTCTGACAGGAATGGTGTGCGCGTCGTCACATTTGAAATGAATACATCCACCTATACCCACACCTTGGGCTGTTGAAACATTTGCTGTGTTCTCTCTCTTAGGGTGTGGGTCTGGATGTGAGTGTGAGCGTATCAACTAGATGACACCCACTCACACCCATATTCAGCACCAACCACACACTCACGATGATGTAGTAGTACATATACAAAAATATGGCGTAAAATAAACATTAACAATTATTTGTCATCAATCGGCCAATGACTGAGTCATAGCCACTTCAATGGTCTCATTACTCAAACACTTACTAATATTAGGTATAATAATATTGAGAAATATTTTTTCTTCCAAGGCCTCAACCAAAGTCAAACAAGTCAAAGTTTCATTTTTATAAGCTTTTTGATCAACGTATTATAATCTCTATTGGATAAAAGGGTGTGGGTGTTGATTAGGCTCACACACCCACACCCCACCATGCTTTCTGACTTTGATATATAAATTTTTTTGCAACTTGCTTTTGGCAGAATTCAGAAGAGAGTTGATGTTGATTAGAAAGAAAAAATAACAGAATATGTCAGATAATAAATAATGATAGATAAAAAAAGTATGATTAACGGGGTGCGGGTGTGGGTCTTGATGAGCTTTTGTGAAGACAAGATTCAAGCCCTTTCAGCACTCACATTCGCAAATATAGTCTAGTATTTTTCTCGAAAAAGACTAGACAAGTCGGGTTGACATAACGCCCATAAGAAAATGATTTAAAATTGAAAAATAAATCACTGTCAGGGATGATTCACATGGCGTGCTATAGTGAAATGCATTGGACTAATCCAGACAAGTCTAAATCTAAATGCAATACGAAGTTAAAGGCTAGATTCGAACATACATACATTCTGTTACGTATCCGTCATTCGGACCATTGAATCATATAATCGAAAATTTCTCTTTTACGTCTCGCTAAATATTAATAGACACTATTTGATTGAAATATTCAGGAACTTTATCAAAATTTTCGTACGAATAAAAGGATTACGGTAATACAAAATTAGGTATCTCAGCTCAAACAAGAGTGCTTTTGATTTTTTAAATTAAAAAAAGAAAATTACATTTTTCTCTTTAGGTTTTGGATAGAGTGTGGGTGTGGGTGTGAATGTAGTTGAAAAGACCAAGCGAACCCATACACACACCCACCAATGCTTATCAAATCAATTTTTTTTTTATTAGTAATAAGTTTAGCATAAAGCATTAAAGCATGTTGAAAAGAACACTGGTCAAGCTGAAAGTGTATTTGAATTATGTATGAAAATTGTTCGTTTTTGTAGATAGTCTTTGAGTAAGTTTTTGAATTTTCGCTTAAGAAGCTTGCCATGTACAGTAAGCCAGCGTGAGTGAAAGACCAAATGCAACCAGAATGTGAATTGCCAGAAGGAAGGTTTTTAATCGCTCCTTAAGTATATTTTCTGGAGATGATCGGTCATCCACTGGTGTTGCATCACTACTGTTATGAAGAACATCCATTTGCACAGGTTTGTCTCGGTTTTTAACGCAAAATGGTGACCATTTCTTGCGGTAGAAAATTTCGAGACACTCGAAACCAATCAATATAGCAAACTCTGTCGACTCCCATGCCACAACTATTCGCCAAGGTTTGTTTATTGAAGTATCAGATAAACTAAACAGAGTAGCAAGAAAAATAGCAATAATCGAGAGAATCAATGCACCGATGCCGACTATAGCATGTACATAGTTAAAAATAAACCGATATTGATGATCGGGATGACACCGAAATAGAGCCATCATTGGTTGGATTATAGCAGCACTAATAACAAGCATACCGATGATTGAATGAGCAAATTCACGCGACTCATTTTGTGAAACCCATGTACCTTGATTATACTTAAGAATCGCGGCGAATGCTATTAGTGTCATTATTGCAGCAAAAATCATTACTGATCGATGAACAGCAAACCACATTTGTTTACCACAAAGTTTTCGTGTAGGCCAAGACTGCTTGAAATATCGGGCAATGAGAATACCTGTTGGAACAAATAGAATCCAAATAAATAGCATAATAATACCATGAGCACGCAAGAACATTGCTTTATCATCGTCGGATCCTTCAATATTAGCCGTCGCTATGGTTCCGGATTGGTCAAGTTGAATCTTTTGAGTTAGCACAGCTACCGAGGAATGCTGTACTAATGCATCTATCATGTTAGCATGGAGAAAAGTTAAGTATAATTTTTGTGAAAAAAAAGCATCTTACTTGAGCCAGCAAGATGTCCTGTGGCCACAAGAATACGATATTGTGTACTTTGTGAAAGTAAAGAAATGCTCCGTTTTCTTCGTCGACCCATTGTAGTAGTAAAATTTGACAGAGTGAATTCACAATAGGCCACACCATTGTTTAGAGCTACTCGGGTTACTGTTAATATACCACCATAATTGGAATCAGTAGTAACTATGGTTGGAGACGAATAACCACCAGGATTGATGAAACGTTGAAGTTGAATTGTGTCATCATTCAAACGTTGACACACAAATACATGATCATTACCCTATATAAAAAAATATCAAAGAATAAAATAAAAACTTCAATTAGCCAATACCATTCTATCATCAAGCGACAAGCCGATGCCGAGCCATTGGGACCTCGCAAGATTGTTGGTAACTATTGAAATGGTGGTTATTCCGTTAAAATATGTCCAGTTCAGATTCAGTGCAGCATCAGTGACTTGCGAATTGATTGTAGTGATAGTATCCATTGATGATATTGAAGTCTGATAGACAACAGCAAAACATATTTCAACAAGGTCAAAAAACATGAAAATGATATTTCAATCCTACACTAGCTGATTGCGAAACACCAGGTAATGTTGTCGAAGAAATCTAAAGAAAACATCGTGAATTAAATACCGAAGGAGGATCTTCAGTCAGTTGAATGACCTACATTTTGAGGAGTCAGCGTAATGCTGAAGCAATTGACGTAGAACGTGCTGTATGATTGAACAATAGTTGCTCTAAAAATTGATTTAGAGTTATGAAACATTTTCTTCTGTCGAAGATTCACGAATACAATATACCATTCTCAATGGTATAACATGAGCTAAATGACTAATTTTGTGAAAGGTTTCACTGTCACTAATGAAAACTTCACTTATTCAATGATTCTAGCAAAGCTTGCGTTTTCAATAATTCGAAAATATGAACATAACTGATTTAGTTATTTTGCCATCGATCTAGATGATTCTTAATTGCTTTTAATTCCCTTTTCATTGATTTGAATAAAACTTAATCAATTATCACCTATAACGAGCATCAAACTGGATATCAAAATGATGGCAGTAAAGTTAAATGGAATTAAAAACCATTTAAAATCAGTGACAAATGAGCAAGTTTATTAAACGCTGTCCTTTCTAATGACTGGATGCAGACTCTTCGATGAAATCTTCAAAGCATGACTCAAGAGAAGCCCTACACATTCTCCAGAAATTTTATGTATGGCTTATTTTTAACATAGTGTGATAAGAGATTGTAAATGATGATGATATTAAGTGTTCTTGTTATGAAACTTCATCTGCTTTGGAGTTATCAGAAAAAAAATCTTACCTGTTATTTACTTCGATTTTATTGGTGAATGTTGATCGTAGGGACAGATAAATAGACTTACCTAATAACAATATTTTCTTGAGCTGTCGTGGATGGAGAGGTCCAAGTTGCTTGAATTTGAGATTTAGTAGTACTTGCTGCTTGTGTAATTCCATTCGAGGATGTACCATCGCAAAAAACAACATAAACTGATGAATCGATCGATGACCAACTGCCCAAAATGTTTTGACTACTTTGACCTTTAGCAACCAAAAGAATACCTTTGAAACGATCAGAACTAGTTGTACCCCGAACAGTAACTGAAAAGAAAAACAAGTGCCTCGAAGAGACAAACATAGATTGGATTACTCACTTTGAATACTATCATCGCTATTGTATTGATACTTGGTTGCTTCGATCACATAATTTGATTGGCACGACATTGAATTGGTCTCATGAGAAGGCATCATTGAGCCGCAAGTGCTGGATGGTGCACCGTTTGGATAACATTGAACAATTCTTGCACATTCAATAACAAGAAGAATGAATAGACTAACGGATATTTTCATCTAAAAGTTCATATACATGCATAATAGTGCTATTTTATCATAAATGATACATTATTTTGTTTAAAAAATAAACTAAAAAGATGCTTTTCTCTTTCAATTAAACATCAAATGACTTCTAAAAACTAATATATCTAAGATATTTTTCTGAAAAAAGGGGTAAAAATGAGGTTGCAAGAAAAAGAAAAAGAGGGCGTATAGGTAAGAAAAACATCAGCTAATTTTTTTTCCATAGGCTTGACGGCAAAAACAAACGTCTTTAAAATACTTTATTTGAAAAACTAATATCATTCTCTTCCTTACAGAAAAAAACTCTGTTCTGTTGTCATCTGGTGATATTTCTTACAACCATCTCTTTGCCATGACTACGTACTATTTGTAAATGGCTCTATAGGTAAGTGCATACTTTTTTTATATCAACCTTCAGTTCTTTGTAAAAACCATAATAGTAAAGAAGAAAAAAATGCGAAAATTAGCCCGCATCCCTCCCGAAAGTATTACTTAGTTTCAAACATTAATGACAAAAACAAAATTAATCTCGGTCTTCAGTTACCACTGAATTCTATTGTAGAACTCCGATGTTACGATTATAGTTGTATTTAAATCCAACCGAAGTTATGCAATGTCTTGAATAAATGCATTCTTATGAGAGAGATAAATAAAGAATTCATACTAGTATTTGCAATGAAATGTTCTCATTTTTCCTGAAAAATTCTGAAATGTTTATTCCTGCTCGTTTTTGTTTTTCTTCTCGATCCATATTAATATGGTGTCTGTTGTTGTGTTCAATTTACCATTCTAACTCATTGAATATAATTACAATTCAAAAGCAGAATACAATAAATGTTTTGAGAGCTTGCCAGGTTTCATGCAAAATAATCTTCGTTCGAAGCTAATCAAAAAAATTATTTCATTAAATACATTTTTATCTAGGATCTCTAAGATTATGCATGCTGACAGTTTGATTAATCTACAATTAGGCAATTTTTCCTTTTTCATGGTTTGGGTAGAACTACCATCAACAGTGATCTATCACCGTCTTTGCTTATTGCTTTCAACCAAATGACGAACGACATATTCAAATAAGCTTTTGTATTCATGCGAATACGCTGTTATGATGACTAACTTTGATGTCATTTAATTGTCAATGCTTCGTGATCGTCAGATGAGTGATAAGAAAAAACAAAACAAAAATCTCGCTGATATATTGATTTGAATCGATCCGTTGTACATGATCGCCAAACTAGTTGAATTACATGTGAACAACAATGATTTAAACTATGTTGAATGGTTTTTTAGTCGAAAATTATATCGCATGATCAAAGTACATAATTCAGAAACGATGTTCAATTTATCTGACATTAATATAAAGATTATTTTGTATTTTTAAGAAAACTGTTGTCCTTGTTGCCAGAAAACAATTAGTAGCATGTTCCAGCTGGCGTTTTGTCTAAAAGCATCCATGTTACATTTAGAAAGTTATGAGAAGTAACGCATGATAACAGCAATATTCATGGCACATGGATTCGGATGACAATGTATGATATATGTGTCATTACAAGATCACTATGAAGTGATGATGGAATATAACGACTTACTCTTCTTGAAAACATGGATTTTTACTATATCTTTTTTCTTTAGTTTCAACTCAAAAAAGATCAAGTAGGAAAATTACTTTTTCTCGTTCAACAGCCCGCTTGAGAATGAAGTCGAATGTTTTCTTTATATTAAGAATGTCGTCTTCTTCGCGTATTCATATAGCTAATCTCCTTTCGTTTATTATTTATAGCGCACTGATGGTTTGGTCTGCTCTCTCTGCTCCTAATAGTCGTATGTAATTACACGTGTTTGCACATTATTTGATCGTTTGACAGAGTCATCGACCTTGTCATGCATTATATCCATCGAGTACAAAAGCCAAAACATGGTGTTTTACATATAATTTTCGGATTAATGGGTGTAAAATCTGAGTTCAAATGATGATGATTCACGCTATTTTCTGTTAAATAGAAGCCATATTCACTTCAATGAGCAACACACCACTCCTTAAGTTGTTGTTTTTACTTTTCTTTCACTGACTTTTCAAGAGTTCTTTTTTTCTTATGAAACTATAAAACTCTGTCGACAGAGAGAGAATGCTATTTTCTTTTCCTCACTTGGATGACGTTACTTTGAAACATTTAGTGTTTCAGCAAAACGCTGTCGTTTATTTTGAAGAAAAATAATTTCTCTTAAGTGTATGTTTTTCTTCTAAAGTGTCACACTTCACAGTATTTTTCAAAAATATTAACGCAATGTTCACATTGTCAAAAACTTATATAGTCTTCGCATTCGTGGCTGTTCTTTGTAGTTTTGCTTTTCTTGACTTTCACAAGAGAACTATTTCAAAAGTCAGTGTTGAATCCGAAAATTTACGACAAATATATTACGCTTGATGATAACTTCTAGAAAATTTCAGTAACTGCAGAAATTCCCATATTTATCATACATAGATTTTTATTTAGTTCTATATTTACAACAATACCCTACCTTCTTAAATATAGTTAATTTAAGAAATTATATACAATTTAAAAGGAAGTGTATTAGAGTATAAATAGAAAAAAAAAATTTTTAATTTCTATATTTATTGAAATTTCAAAGTACTTAACGAAAATGCTAATATGTCAGAAGATAGTATCTTTTCTTTAATAATAAAAAAAAAACAGTTATATCTATACGGGAAGAATAAAATAACTGCAGTGTTTACTGATAAGACAAACGACAAGAAAGTCACTGTTCGAACTAATTATTTTTGGACAAAAATCACTTGGATATAGCAAATCGACGGTGGAAAACATTTTGTACGACTCAGTTGTTGAAAATTTGCCCAATCAACTTTTCAGATCTCGTGTCCCTCTCACTTCCTCAGGTATTGATTGGCAACTTTTTGTCCCTGTTTCTTGCAATAAGCACATCGCTCAATGCTGAGTTTCACGCTGATCATCAATATTAAAAATTTTAACATTGAAAAAATGGAGTTTTGTCTGAATTAATTGAGTTCTATCGCTAGAATGGGATTTCAGCCGTGATTCAGCTTTCATTGCTATTCGATCATGAAAGTAAGTCTGAAATAGTTGAACACAAGACTTCCTGATCCATTCGAAATATCATTATAGCTCACACTTTGTACGTAAATCGAGTGCATTTCAAGTTTGACATAAATTTTTTCTCTAATTCTATAATAAAACATTAGTTTCTTTTCAATTTGTTCCAAAGAAAACATCATATAGTCGGGTTGATTAGACTAGATTTGACACATGAATAACAAAAGCTGGAAATAGTAAATCTTCTTTCACTTCTCAAAAAGAAAAATGATACAAATGTGATCCGTCTCGCTGATGTCCTAAAAACAAAATGAATGGTATCTGGGTCATGAAATATCGCCAATTCAATCATAACACTGTTGAATATAACCACGTACAGCTGATTGTGATTTCCTAAGAAAATAAAAAATCAAGAAATGAAGAAAACTACATGAGATTCATCAATGCTTGTGAATGTCTTTTAGATTTCGTCACTTATATGAAGATTTGTCAAGATCTCAGCACACCAATGAATGTTCACAGATCATTGTTGTTGGAAAACGAGGAGATTCAACATTTTTTTTTACAATTTAGGATGATGGATGTGGGTGTAGGTGTAAGTGAGTGGTGCAAGTGCGGATGACTGATAATCTTTTCCTCATCCACGCCAACACCAACACCTACACCCAATCTCGCACCCGAACATAATGAGAGCAGTGATTTCTGTGGCAAGAATCTTGCGTCTCTGAAGCAATAGAAGGGACCTTGCAATGTTCAATGATAAGTACAAACCCCAATGGCTGATCGTTTAAGTGTTCTACTTATTTGTTCTATCTTGTTTTATTTATTTGCCAATAAAAAAAATGTGTATACATATACCTATTGCAATGAGTGCCGAGACACATACACCGCTGTGTCAGTGATGGGGTGTGGGTGTCGGTGGGTATAGGTCATCTGATTACCCACAAGAAAACGCACACACAATTCTAATCAGATAAAATTTTCTTTTGTTCCAAAAAGAATTGGAAAATTTTCTAGAAAGTTACACTTGATATAAACTATAACATCATGATGCTTAATTGATTGAGTAAGACTGTTCGATTTGAATAGAAATATAAAAAGTTTTAATCAAAATTAGTGGGAGACGTGAGAGAAGATTTTTTATAATTGATCTTCAGAAAGTAATTTTTATTTGTTTGAGCTAAGAAATTATTTTGTAAATAGTGATTGAACTATTACAACTTGTGCGTCACGATTTGTAACCGTTCATTCGAGTTTCGATTTCATATTCTAATGATAAAGAGAATTTGGAAACTACAGTCAATTTAAAAGGTGTGGGTTTGAGTTATAGTCTGGTTGTAAGAACAAGAAAATGAACAGTCACACTCCATAAGGAGTTAAATAGTTTTGAATACTACTTATGTTTCCAAATAAGTAGCTGTAATGTCTACACGACGAATACACTAGGTCGTATGATTGATGTCTCAAGATAATGAAAGATTCTATTTAAGTTACATATAAAACAAATTTTATTATTACACTAGTGAAACAACGACTAAGTTAACAGCATAAGGCGAGCGTCATAATTATGAATTATTAATCGTCATTTTTCATCAATTTGTTGTTCCCTTCATTTTCCTATACGTTTGAAACCAAAACGACTATTGAAATTTATAGTGAAATCCTGAAAGTTTCTATCAAGAATAAAATAATAAAATCATGAGAAAAT